GTGCCATCCTAGCTAGGGTACAGAAAGAAACTGGAAATCTGAACCATGTAGTGATTCCTGGGCGTGGTGATGTTCAGACAGTGGCTCATTAATTATGGCAAAAGTTCTCTCTGGTAATTCAACAGTGTCTCAAAATAGCCATAAACCTAAAATCATTTTTAAATATTTTTTTGAGCCAGTCTTATATATCCTGGGCCGGCCTTGAACTCACTTGGTATGAAGGGGTGATCCTGAACCTCTGGCCCTCCCACTCTGAGTCCTCAACACTGGCATTACAAGTATGAACCATCAATCGCCATTTATAGAGCACTGAGGACTGAACCCAGATAGATCATTGTGCATGCTAGGCAAGAACGTTCATCCCCACTGCATCCCCAGCCACTAAAATACTTCAAACTATGAACATTAAGTCTGAAAACATAGATTCCAAAATTGCCAGAGGTTTCAGAATCTCCCAACTGTTTCCCACTGCTGTACAGAGTCTGGGCAGGGATGCCTGCCCCCTAATGAGGGGATTTTCCAAAGCTGTTCTGAGACTTCAACTAAAATGAGGCAGGGAGTGCTGGGGAGATGACTCAGTGGTTAAGAACACTGACTCCTCTTCCAAAGGACCTGGGTTCAATTCCCAGCACCCACACTGTAGCTCACACCTGTCTTTCACTCCACTTCCTGGGGATCCTCACACAGGTACACATGTAGGCAAAACACCAATGAACATAAAATAAAAGTAAGTTATGTTAAAAAAAAAAAAAAAAAAAAGAGGCAGGGGAATAGAAAAGACGCTGTCTTACAGCAATCGTGATGCGTTCCCAAGAACTGTTTAAAATTAGGTAAGGATTTTGTCTGATGGAAAGGTAAGCAGCCCCTAGGGGAGTCACACTGGTGTGCAGATAAGTACCGGCATTTAAGGTATGAGATGCCACAGAGTTGTTCTTTCCTACCCAGTGATGCCAGATACTATGCCCAGCACTGAACCCTATACTGACTTCCCCTCTAGACACACCCCTGTGAAAAAGGCTACAGACTGGGCCAGCAAGAGAGGAACAATGATAATAATATACAGCAACAAGCCATTAAATCGGGCCTGTGTCAGTATCATTTAAAAACAAAAATAATTACATCTGTTATTATTAGCGGGAGGGGGCCAATGTGGCAGTCCAAAGACAGCTTTCGGGAGTCAGTGCTCTCCTACACGTGGGTCCTGATGATCGAACTCTGGTTGGGCTGAGTGTATGACACAATGCATGTGTGGTGGGTGAGGTGGGTGTTATGATACAGCACTGGACTGTCCCTGACCTTCTGACGACACATGAAGGGAGGGGCAGTCAACCCACAGTTATGATGGGGATGGCTGGGCGCCAAGAGCACAGGAGACTGGTGGTTGGAGGATCTGTGAGAGCCGAGGACTTTTTTAGTAAGTTTTTAAAAAAAGATTTATTATTTATTATTTATACAGTGTTCTACCTGCACGTGTGCTTGTGTAGCAGAAGAGGGCACAAGATCTCACTTTAGATGGCTATGAGCCACCCTGTGGTTGCTGGGAATTGAACTCAGGACCTTTGGAAGAACAGCCATTGCTCTTAACCTCTGAACCATCTCTCCAGCCCTGAGGACTCTTTTTGAATAAGTACAGTCCGCCATATGTTCATTTGTTTGAGCAGAGTCTCACTGTGCAGCCCTGGCTAGCCTGAAACTCAGCATGATGATCATGGCCTTGACCTCAGAGATCCACCTGCCTCTGCTTCCCTAGGGCTAGGATTAAGACAGGCAACACCACACCTGGTGAAGGGGAGGAGCTAGTTCCCTAGGAATCTCATGCTGGGGAAAGAGAAAGGCTAAAGTCCTGATGCCAGTCAGAAAAGAAACTTGTCCAGAAAGATTTCAGTTTTTACAAAGCATCAGACCACCTTGCGGGGCAGACAGGATCAAGGACAGTGGTGGACCAATGAGTGACCGACCAATGACAGGCAGGACTGCGTCGTGACCGGACTGCTTAGCTATGCATACTTCTACCCCTCTAGTTAAGCCTAAATCTCATGACAGTATCTCAGGGAGGAACTTTGAAGTGAGAGAATCCCTTTATTTGTTCCTTTCTCAACGAGGGCACACTGAATGAATATTTTTCTGATCTTCACTGTTAGTTGTCTCATTAATTAAAATATTAGGGATCAGTGGCCAAATCTAGCTTGTTGACACTGTCAAAGCCCAGACTTTAACCCCAAAAACTTTAATAAAACCTTTCAAAAGGGCATTGAAGTTGCCAGGTATGGTAGCATGTTCTTTGTCCCATCACTAGGGAAGCAGGCAGTGCTCTGTGAGTTCAAGACCAGTGAGTTCCAGGCCAGCCAGACTGCACAGTGAAACCTGTCTAATAATAGACAAATATGCATTTGTAATGGCATATCAATCTGACAGTGTTTGCAGGAGCTGCAGTCCCTCACTGGCCACACAGATGACTTTAATGTTTTGTTCCATCCAAGGACCACAACTCACAGTCTTGTCCTTTGGGGCATGTACAATTTGAAACACACACCGGCAAAACTTGACAATGTCCACACTACTCTGCTTCATCAAATCTCTCCCAATTTCTCACTTGTTGGCACTTCAAAACTGCCTTCCATGGGTTCTTATGCTGGGAATGCAGCAGAAGCTTCTTCATTGGTAGCTATGGCCTCTACAGAGATCTTGCTTTTCAAGACAAATCCATCCCTACCCTGTGTAGCCATTCCTTGGCCCCATTAAGTGGCTCTGTGTTCCTCTTTCAGCCAGGCATAAAGGTTTGGCAGAAGGCACTCTCTGTCCCTGTTTTCTACTCGCAAGTGTGATGCCCTCTCTACCCAAGTAAACACTTACTATGCACTGTGGCCGTGCCCGTGGCAAAGCTACCACTTATTAATTGCATTTCAGAAAGGTTCTCGTTTAGCCCTCAAACTTGCTATGCGGCCAAGAATGGGAGTCTAGGAGTGTTCCTAGACTGTGCCATCCTAGCTAGGGTACAGAAAGAAACTGGAAATCTGAACCATGTAGTGATTCCTGGGAGTGGTGATGTTCGGACAGTGGTTCATTAATTATGGCAAAAGTTCTCTCTGGTAATTCAACAGTGTCTCAAATAGCCATAAACTGTGGCTTTTCTCTGGATGCTTCTGCCAACCTTTCTGCTCTCCATGCCTCGGTCCAGAGAATGTCTGACCTGGTAGTTGCTGATGTGACTGTCAACTTCTCTCAATTTCCCTATGATTGCAAATTAAACTTTCTCTTTTCAGCCTATCTTGGCTTTTGGTCAGTGGTCAAGATTAGAAAGCCCCCACCACTCCCTTAGTAACTGACTGAATTACATGTTTATTCTTTTCTCCTACTCTAAGTACTATAGTGGAGATTCTGTGGCATCTATTTGTCCCTTGCTTCTGATTTATCTTCTCATCTTATAGTGTTATGGATAAAACGCAAGGCTTCTTGCATGGGTAAGCACTCTCCCAACTCAGCTATATCACCAGCTCCAACTTTTAATGTATTGGGGTATTTTTGTTTTGTTTTGTTTTTTCAAGAAAGGGTTTCTCTGTAGCCCTGGCTGTCCTGGGACTTGCTCTGTAGACCAGGCTGGCCTCAAATTCATGGAGATCTGCCTGCCTCTGCTTCCCAAGTATTGGAATTAAAGGCATGCACCACCACAGGCTGGCCCATTTTTAATTTTTTAAAGACTTGTTTTTAATTATGCCTGCGACTGCAAGTTACACGACACAGGCGCAGAAGCCCTGGCTGCCCTGGTGCTGGGGAAAGAGGTGATAGTGAGCTGGCTACCCGATGTGAGCAATGGAAATTGAAATTAGCCCCCCCCCCCCCGGAAGAGCAGACAGTGCTCTTACCCACTGAGCCATCTCTCCAACCCCGATTTGTTTGTTTTTACACAGGTCTGGCAACTGGGCCCAGGCTGGCTTCAAACTCACTAACCTTCTGCCTCGTGTCTCAAATGCTAGGGTTACGGAGGGGCAACACCATATTCAGCACAGTTTTCTTCTTTGTAATCTCACCGATACAAGATTTGTTCTTGCCCAGCAGTGGTAGTGCACGCCTTTCGTCCTAACCCTCAGGCGGCAGAAGCAAGGGGATCTCTGAATTCGAGGCCAGCCTGGTCTACGGAGCAAGTTCCACTTTCTCTTTTTCTTTCTTTTCCTTCCTTCCTTCCTTTCTCTCTTTCTTTCTTTTCAAGCTTTTTACTTTTTGGCTTTGCCTCAGCAAACCTCAAAGGCTAGGCATTACTACTCTTGTGCCGATTATCTAAGCGTTACCTGAACACAGGCAGTTGTCCTAAGCGCCTAATGAGTGGGCAGCAAATACAGCAGGGATGCGCCGAGCAAGATGCTATAGGTGCAGAGCAGGAAGGGTTAAAACTTCATCATGCTGCTTTTTCTTGGGCTGGGAAGAAAGTACTGGGGAACGGACATGGGACTCAAAGCACGCTGGGTAAACACCCTGCTATTGGGCTCTTCAAAACACTACTCAGAATCCACGACTGGAACGCCAAGAGCTGTTTGTTTCTGGAGTCTTCCCCTTACTGTTCTCAAGTAACTGAAACCGCAGGTAAGCGGGAGGCTACTGCATTCATCTTCCCTTTCTCTCAGTTTTCTCTCAAACACACATTGCGCACCTAAGCACTATGACATCGGTGGTCTCTTCATCCTCTGCACAGGCCTATGTGCCCCTTTTTCGGAGGAGGAAACTGAGAAGAGGAAACGTGAGATGTCCGAGGTTACATAGCAATGCTGGGCACACTCGAGATGCCAAGCCCGGGCTCCACCTGGCGGAGGGCAGGCTGGACCCTGGGCCTTGAAGAACCCTAGCTCTGGCCCGGGCGAGGGACCCGGTCTCCCCAGAACGCACACTGCCCTTCTCAGACAACTTCCCTCCGCAGCCCCAAGAAGCCTCTGAGGTCCGCAGCGCCGCCCCGATCCCGCCCGCCGATACAAAAGCCCCGGCGGGGCCACCGGCACCTAAACACTCACCTCCCGTAACTCCGCGCCGCCTCACCGGAAGTGCTTCCTCGTGACCCGGAAGCGATGAGCCCTGAGCTCCAGCAACCTTCCTCTCAGCAGGCTTTGCTGGAAGTACGGCTTCCCCGCCCACCTCCTCCCGTTCTTCCCTAAAAGCACAGTGAAGGTTGAAGCCTTATTGAATTTTTGTTTAATTTGAGATAGAGTCTCACAGTGTAGCCCTGACTGGCCTGGAACTTGGAGCAATTCTCCTGCCTCATTACAGATGGTCTCTGCATTGTTTATAACTTAGTTCTAAGCCTGAGCTAGAAACCTACAATATAAGGAGGAGGACAAACAGATTGACGTGATATAATTCAGACAAAAACAAATAAATTAAAAAGCGACCACTGAACGTTTCTGCTCCCAGGGAGTTTATCGTCAGAGAGAGTAAATCACATAATGGATATGGGATCCGTAATGCGATAAATGTTTGGAAGGCAAACACCAGAGAATTGGAATAAGTGAGGCAGATTAATTGGGAAAAGGAGGCCCAGTTTAGGCAAAGGCTGGTAACCAGCTTCCATGATGGACAGTTAATGTTATTGGTGCCTGATTTTCAAGCCTTTTACAGTCTCCTCCCACGCTGACCAGTGTGACCCATAGGATATTGGGGAAATACAGAACTTGAGTTCCAAGACTTAAGTCAGAAAAACATTGTGACTTCCTCTTTGCTCTCTTGATCACTCATGGGAAATCCCACATGGTGAGGCTCACATGGGCAGTTACCAAGCCTCCAGCCAACAACTATCAGCATTGCAGCCAAACGGATAGACTACCTCCAGAGGTCATCCCCCAGGCCCAGGTCAGCTAAAGATTTAGGACCCCTAAATCTTTTAATTGTGTGTGGGGCAGGTGGGTTGCTGTGGGCATGGGTGTGGCATATGTACACGTGCGTGCACCTGTGCAGGCTAAGGCCGGAAGGGTACACCAGGTGTCCTGTTATATTCCACAGTACTCCCTAGAGATAGGGAAAGCCCCAGTGATCCTGTCTCCAGCAAGCCTTGGCACTGGGGTTGAAGGTATATGTGTGGCCACATCTGGCTTTTTACTTTGGGTATCTGAGATTCAAACCCAGATCTCCATGCTTGCACAGGCAGAGCTCTCACCCACTGTGCCATCCCCAGCCTCAAAATCAGTTGTGTGGATGGATCTCTGTTTGTCCTTTTTCCAATGCTGAGGATGAAACCTCAAGCATGCTGCTCCAAACTCCTGCTGCTGTGACTTCCTCCCAAGGACAGACTGTAATCTTCAACCATGAGCCAAAACAAACTTCCTCAGTTGCTTCTGTCAGAGTATTTATCGTAGCAGTAAGCAAGTAACTAGGACTGGAGAGACACGGTGGCTCACACCTATATTCTCAGGACTTGAAAGCCTGAGGCATGAAGGTCACCATGTGTTTGAGGCTAGTTTGAACTACACAGTGAGCCCCAGCCTGGGCTACATGATGAGATATTGTCGTAAAAAACAAAACAAACAAACAAAAAACAGGGATGGCTCAGCAGTTAAGGGTACTGACTGCTCTTCCAAAGGACCTAGGTTCAAATCCAGAACCCACATGGCAACCCACATGGTGTCTCACATAGACACCAATGCACATAAAATAAAAGTAAATAAACTTAAAAAAAAAAAAAAAGCTGGTGGTGGCTCACACCTTTTATCCTGGCACTCAGGAGGCAGAGGCAAGTAGAGCTCTGTGAGTTCAAGGGCAGCCTGGTCTACAGAGTGAATTACAGGACAACACTACACAAAGAAACCTTGTCTCCAAAAACCAGAGAGAGAGAGCTGAGTATGGTAGTGAACACCTTTAATCTCAGCACTGGGGAAGAACTCTGAGTTCCAAGGCAGCGTGGTCTACATAGCAAGTTCCAGGCCAGCCAGAACTAATAAGGAAATCTTGTCTCAAACAAACAAAAAAGAAGGCCAAGGAGAGAGCTTCTTTGGTCAAGATGCTGCTGCACATGCCTAGTGACCTGAGTTCAACCCCTAGAACCCACACCAAAATGGAAGCTGAGAACCTACTCCACAAAGTTGTCCTTTGACCTCCACATATCTGCCATAGCATGTGTGCCCTTCCCCATATCACACAGATATGTATATATATGCACACACGCAATGATGAATGTTTTTAAGGGAAAAATGAAGTCAACACACATGAGGATGTCATACATGAAGATGAAGATGAAGGCATACATGAAGGTCCTACAAGTTAAGAACCACCAAAATTCTCCCATGAGCCACCGGGAGCTGAGATAGCCATGGATCAGCTTTCTCAAGCCTTCACAACTGCCCTCGGACCACTTGGTTTCAGACTTCTGGCATCCGGAACTAATAAGATAAATGTCTGCTGCTCAACTCACCTAACGTGTGACATGTACATGGCTATGGCAGCCCAGCCCTAGCATGTTAACACAGGTAGTGTGGGCGATAGGCTAACCCAGGTGCTCTGAAACCTGTTACTATCTGTCTCCAAATGTAGAAAGATCCCCAGTGTGGCTGCTGCGGGCAAAGCCACTTTCTTACTTTCTGGAAGTTCGTAGAGGACTCCAGCTGAATTTAGCTTCTTGCTGTCCCCTGCATGGCTCCATTTAGCGCACAGCAGAGCTCCGTGGCAGGTTTGGAGAAAACACCAAGATAAAAAATATAAGCAAGTATCTTGGGATTATGGATGGAAGGCAGCCCAGATAAGAATGGTTAAGGTGGAAGGTATTGGATGGGGGCTGGGAGGTAGATCTTGAGGTTATTGAGATAGCATAGGTGAGATGTCTGCCCAGCCCAAGGAAAATAAGGCAGTTATAGAATTTTAACAGGTATCTATGCTTTATTAATTGTGATAGTGGGTTAAATAATACCACTGAAATAATTATAGGACAAATGATAAACATTTAGCCCAATACCATTTTTATTTTCAACAACAAATCACTGTAATTTATCCTCAATGGATTAATCTTTTGGGTAATATAATATTAATTATAGATGATGATGATGATGATGATGATGATGATGATTGAGAGGTAGTGAAAAGTAGGAGGTAGTAGGGCTGGGGAGATGGCTCAATCAGCAAAGTGCTTGTTATATAAGCATGAAGACCTGAGTCTAATCACCAGAGCCCACAGAAAATGTGGGTGTGGTGGTATGTAATCCCAGTGCCGGGAAGCAGAGACAGGCAGATCTCTTAGGCTCACTGGACGGCCAAGCTGACTTTACAAGCTCCATACCAGTGACAGACCTTGCCTTAAGAAAAGAAAAGAAGAGCTGCAAAGGGATGGAGTGTTCATTCTTTAGCCAGGCACGGTGCTCAGGCCTTTAATCCCAGAACTCAGGAGGCAGATCTCTGTGACTTCAAAGCCACCTTGGGGCTGGAGAGATGGCTCAAAGGTTAAGAGCATTTGCTGCTCTTCCAAAGGTCCTGAGTTCAATTCCTAGTGAACACATGGTTCATAACCATCTACAGTGAGATCTAATGCGCTCCTCTGGCGTGCAGGCACACATGCAAGGCAGAACACTGTATGCATAATAAATAAATAGATCTTTATTAAAAAAAAAAAAAAAACAGCCTGGTCAATATAGCAAGTTCCAGGCCAGCGAGGGCCACATAGTGAGACACTATCTCTAAAAGAAAACACAGTAGGTGAAAAATTCCTGAGGAACGATACCCAGTCCTTCCTTTAACCGCCACCTGTACACACACAAGCACTCACACATTCCTGAAAACACGTGCACTCACACTAATATGCACACAAAGCAGGAGGCAGGAACTTGGTGGGTGACATAGGCACGAGAGTAGGCCCTTGAGAGAATCTTGTCTGTGGCTTCTTCCTGCCTTGCTCCCTCACTTCCTGGGTGCCATGATTAACCAGCTCTGCTCTTCCATGCTCGCCACACCAGACGAACTAAAACTTTGAAACCACGAGCAAAACAAATCCATCCTCCTTTTGTTGTCTTTCTGGGTGGCACTGGCTGTCCCGGAACTCACCTTGAGGACTAGGCTGGCCTCTGCCTCCAAAGTGCTGGGATTAAAGGTAGGTGTCGCGCAATCGCGGCTGCCACAGCCACCCTGCTCCTTCCTCCCTTTAAGTTATTCAAGTCAGGTATTCTGTCATGGTGATGAGAAAAGTAATGAGGGATCCCATGGAATGGTTCAGCGGGGAGAGGTACAAACTGCATAACACTGGTGACCTGGGTTCTATTTCTGGAATGAATCCACATTAGAACCAACAAAAAAAAGTTATCCTTTGATTTTTACACACACACACACACACACACACACACACCGGTAGGTAACTAGTGCATTGGATACAGGGAAAGAAAATAGAAGGAGGTAGAAGACGTCTTTTGCATATGCCAGTCTTTACCACTGTTGGTCCCCACACCTAAGATGGAAAGACAGCTAAGATTAAAGGGACAACAGTGAAAGATCCCCGGAGGGTATCTTCCGTCAGAGAGACCCCCTCCCAAAGAACAACGAGTCCATTCGGATGCAAACAGCAAGAGGCTTTTATTTTGATTCACGAGTACTCGGGGCAGCAAGGTCACTCGGGAGGACCTGGCGCGCCTCCTTGGGGAAAAACTGGGGTTTTTATAGGGTTTTAGAGCAGAAGCACTGGTACAGAAGCGAGAGGGCATGGTTACAGGGGGCTGATTGGCACGTTTACACGAGACCACAATTTGCGTCAAAGTTTGGCAGGGGCACCAAGATTCCAGGAACTGGGTGGTCAAGGGGGGTAGGATGACCCCTTGACGTGGCCCGCCACCTGTTATTTTGTTTTTTCCTATCTTAGCTGAAACAGTCTCACAGATATCTATGAGAGTGATTAACACAAACTGTTTTTAGTATGACTGGGGCAGCCTGACCACAGATATCCCAAGTGGGTGACACAGCTAGGATTTTTCAGTAATTTTCCAGTTTCTCATCTGGCTTTCAGAGTTTTATAAAACAGTGGTGTCTCACAAAATGGCGTTAGCTATGTTTAACTTAGTGTGAGGCTGCGG